GAATGATAGTACCTGCGGGAAGGGGAACAAGGGTACACTAATGAATACCTGCGGCCCTTCCCATTCCTTTCCCCCCCATCACAACCGAAGCTTGTATGGTAAGGAAAACTCTGTCTGGGCCTGCTGTTGCGGAAAGGTTTAAACGTTTAAAGCGAGCACGGGTGCAGGGGGTGGACACGATGGGTGCAGGAAGGGGGCCACCCCAGCCACCAGGACCCGCGCATCGCTCGGCCCTTCCCATCGAGGCGATCGCGGGCTCCTGACCCATCGTGCGCGATCCCAAATCCACCCCTGACTAATCCCGCCGCTTTCTTTTTTTGTTCTTCTTTTCTTCACCCGGCGTCAATCGGACTCGGAATGGTCGACTACTAATTGGGAGACCGCTGCCTCGTTCAGCTGGTCACTCCTGAGGTACCTCAGGAAAGCTGCGCTCCTCCATCCGCCCGCCTGTAGCAGGGTGCCAAGGGAGCTGCCGGAATCGAGCAAGTCTCGCGCCATGCCCCTTCTAAGGCACTGCGTGCCGAGCCGGCCACTGTCCGCCACGCCGACGTCCGACGCGTAACGTCGGAGATCAGCAATGAACGCACTGCGGGTTCTGGTGAAAATCGTGGCCGAACCTGATCTGCGAGCATTCTGGAGCGCCTTTCTCATGTGGTGGCACGCGCATAGAGACGAGCCCGATGAGTCGCAATTGCACTCTCTACGGAGCACCGACGGCCCGCGTTCGTTGTTCCTTTTGTTCAAAACGATAGTGACCATGCCACTCTCGCACGATACTTTAGAATGAGGGCCTTTCTTTTGCAACGGGAGGGCCTCCGAGGGGACCCTGAGCAGAAACAACCTCGAAACCGAAATGATGGCTGCCATCTCACTGTCACCTGTAGCCTGCGCGTGTTTGATGATTGCTCGGGCTTCACGGGCCTGGAGGCCCAGGCGTGGTTTTGGCGCAGGCGCAAGTTTGCGGACACCTCTCCGCACTTGCTGCACCGCGCTGCCGCCCCAAGAATTTGCCAACCTAAGGAAGCGGTGCGCCCAACGAAGGTGTTTCAGATACGTGCAGAAAGTCTCTGCGTTGACGAACATAATCGCATACCTTAAAACGCTGCTCTCCGTAGCCGGGAAGTGGCATGGCATGTTAGATGCGTCACAAAAGGCTCCCCAGCACCGTATCCCGCTGGCATACGTCGGGATGCACGCTTTAATCGCCGTGATCATGAGCCTCTGCGCCCGTTCAGTCATCATGTCGTCGGCTGCAGGGCCAGCCGCAGACGCGAGTGCCCGGATGCGTTTCCGCGGCCCTCCGGTCTCCGCCAAGTCGCCCAGGCCTGCCTCGATCATGAGTTGGGCGAACGTGCTCCTGTTTAACATGACAGACAACTCCTCCTCTTTCAGGAATTCATCCAAACATTGAGCTACATCCCAGGCTGTGCATTCCTCCCTCGACAGCGCAAGAGCGCGCCGGATCCACCAGTCACATGCGTTTACTGCTTCCGGAGGCGGAGACGGCGAGGCACGCTCGCGGATCGAGTTGCTGTTCACAGTTGACACTGGAGCAGACGTCGCAGCAGTTCGGTCTCCTTGGAGCGTCACAGGGACGAAGGCATGCTGGCTCGGCGCGGCCGGCACCCGGGGCGGAGGGCCCCGGCGACTCCCATCCAAGGTCACTGGTGTGAAAGGCTTCATGCTAGGACCAAGCTTGCCCCAAATCGGCTGCTCGACCGCCAGATGTCAACGAATGCAAAGAGAGTGCACAGGGACCTAGTGGGCCCTCCAAAGCATATGGTGCAACGTCAACCATGAAGGCACGAGGCAACATAGGCGTTGCCAAAGCAAGCGTCCCGCCGCAGCTGGCGCTGCGACGGCGACGAAAAGTTGCGTGCGTTGACCACAAATTGATGACGAAAGATGATGACAGCGACGGCATTGACCACTCAATGGGATGCGAATGACCGAGAAGGGAAAAGAAACAGAAAGAGAGCGAGAGAGAGAGAGAGAGAG